GCTAAGATAATTGAAGGTCACTATACTAAGCAGATTTTCAATGCAGACAAAACAGCTTTCTTTTGTAAGAAGATACCATTTAGAACGTCAATGTCTGGCTTTAAAGGATAGGCTGACTCTTTTGTTAGGGGATAATGCAGCTCATGATTTTAAACTAAAGCCAGTGCTCACTGGTCATTCCAAAACTTCTAGCGCCCCTAAGAATTATGCTAAATCTATTCTGTCTGTGCTCTATAAATGGAACAAAGCCCGGATGACAGCACATCTGTTTTTATGCAGCATGGCTTACTGGCTATTTGAAGCCTACTATTGAGACCTGCTGCTCAGAAAGATAGATTCCTTTCAAAACATTACTGCTCATTGACAATACACTTGGTCATCCAAGAGCTCTGATGGAGATATATAAGGAAATTAATGTTGTTTTCATGTCTGCTAACATAATTTCTATTCTGCATCCCGTGGATCAAATAGTAATTTAGATTTCATATGAGAAATAAATTTAAGTATTATTTAAGAAATAAATTTCCATATAAAAATATTTAAGAAATAAATTTCATAAGGCTATAGCTGTCATGGAGAGTGATTCTTCTAATGGATCTGGGGAGAGTAAACTGGAAACCTTCCAGAAAGGTTTCACCACTCTAGACACCATTAAGAATATTTGTAATTCATGGGAGGAGATCAAAACATCAACATTAACAAGAATTTGGAAGAGATTGATTCAAACCCTCTTATGGATGACAGGAAGTAGCTGCAGATGTGGTGGAAATAGCAAGAAAATTAGAAATGGTGCCCAAAGAGGTGACTGAATTACTACAATATCATGATAAAAACTGAACACATGAGGAGTTCCTTCTTAAGGATGAACAAAGTGGTTTATTGAGATAGAATCTATTCTTGGTGAAGATACTATGAGTATTGCTGAAATGACAACAAAGGATTGAGAAAGTTGACAAAGCAGTGGCAGGGTTTGAGAGGACTGATTCCAATTTTGAAATAAGTTGTACTGTGGGTAAAATGCTATTAAACAGCATCATGTGCTACAGAGACATCTTCCATGAAAGGAAGAGTCAACCGATGCAGCAAACTGCATTGCTGTTTTCTTTTATAATAAATTGCCACAGCCACCCCAGCCTTCAGCAACCACCACACTCATCAGTCAGCAGCCATCAACACTAAGGCAAGACCCTCCACCAGCAAAAAGATTACAACTCTCTGGAGGCTCAGACGATCATGAGCATTTCTTAGTAACAAAGCATCTTTAAATTAAGGTATGTATGTATTGTTTTTTAAGACACACTGCTACTGCACACTTGCTAGACTATAGTATAATGTAAACATAATTATTATATATACTGGGAAACCGAAAAAAATCGCATGACTCCCTTCAGTGCGATACTCGCTTTTTTGCAGTGGTCTGGAATTGAACTTGTAGTATTTTTGAGACATGCTTGTATTTGAATTATTTCTCAAACTGCTTTAAAACATCACTGTAAAATCTTAATTTAAAAAATTCAAATATTTTCCAATATATTGCATCACAACAGGGAAGTGATCTAATAATTTTAAAACATTTTCAGTAATTATGTCATAAGCATTTTGGTGTTGCCTTGTAAAAAATCTTTACTAATTCAGAAAAATGGAATTTTCTATTCTTTAAAATTCTTTCCGCTTTTACCAAAAAATTAAATAAGTCCTTTATTTTTCTTTATCCTTTTGTTAAATACTCAGATTAAGTTTTACTGAAACATAACTACCACAAAATTCATCAGTTTCAATTAGAGAGTTAGATATCTTTATGTATACAGCTGTGTGTGTAATCATCACAGTCCAGTTTGGGAAAACTTCTACCACTCTAAAAAGTTCTCTGTTCTCAGCTGGGTGCAGTGGCTCATGCCTGTAATCCCAACACTTTGGGAGGCTGACGGGGGAAGACCAGTTGAGCCCAGAAGTTTGAGACTGGCCTGACAACATAGCAAGGCCCCGCTTCTAAAAAAAAAAAGTTTTTATTTTAAAGGTTCCCTGTGCCCATCTGCAGTCAATCCCTGCTGCTACCTCCAGACCCAGGCTACCACTGTTTGCTTTTGTCTTGAAAGTTTTCTGCTTTTTAGAAATTTCAAACAAACAGAATCATACAATATATAGTTTTATGTATCCGGCCTCTTTCAGTTAACATGTTTCTAAAGGTATCCATTTGGTTGACTATCAGTAGTTTGCTCTTTATAAACTGCTCAGTAGTATTCCAACATATGGATATATCACATGTTTATCCATCTATCAGTTGATGAGTACTTGAACTGTTCATAGTTTTTAGCCACTATGAATAATTTTGCTGTAAACATTCACATGAGTTTATGTATAGATACGTATATTCATTTCTGTTGGGTAGATTCTTAGGAATAAATTGCTAAGTCATAAAGATGCATGTTTGGCTTAAGAAATTACTAACTTTCCCAAAGTGGCTATACAATTTTGTATTCCAAGCAGCAATGTATGAGGTTTCTAATTTCTTCACATCTCACCAACACTTAAGACAATCCCTTTTTTATTTTGGCTAATTTAGAGAATTCGTTAGTGGTATTTCACTGTGGCTTCATATCTAATGACAGCAAACAACCCTTCATGTACTTGTTTGCCATCCATACATCTTCTTTAGCGAAATCTGTACAAATCTTCTGCCCTTTTTAAAAAACTGGTGGTTTTGGTATCTGTGAGTTGTAAGTATTCTGCATATTCTGGATTCAATCCTTAATCATACATGTTTTGCAAATACTTTCTCCAAATATTTGGCTTGGCCTTCTCATTTTCTGAATAGCATCTTTTGAAGGTAAAGGTTTTAAATTGTGATGTTCATTTTAATCAACTTTTTTTGTTTGTTTGTTTGTTTGAGTTTTGCTGTGTCGCCCAGGCTGGTGTGCAGTGGCACAATCTTGGCTCACTGCAACCTCTACCTCCAGGGTTCAAGCGATTCTCCTGCTTCAGCCTTCAGAGTAGCTGGGACTACAGGCGTACACCACCATGCCCATCTAATTTTTGTATTTTTTGCAGAGACAGGGTTTCACTATGTTGGCCAGGCTGGTCTCGAACTCATGGCCTCAGGTGATCTGCTTGCCTCGGCCACCCATCTAAGAAATCCTTGCCTAATCCAAGGTCATGAAGATTTACCCTTAGGTTCTTCTCTAAGAGATTTATAATTTTAGTTCTTATATTAAGTCACTGTCTCTGTATTTTACGGAATTTTACAGTTTTACATTTTACTTTAAATAATCTGTTTTTGTGTATAGTGGGAAGGGTCTAGGTGTAATTTTTTTGAAAAGACATATATTCAACTGTTTCTGCACCATTTGTTGAAAATACTACCCTTTCCCCCAATGTATTACCTTGGCATCTTTGTCAAAAATCAATTTACCATATACATCTGAGTTCATTTCTTGACCCTATTCTATCCTATTGATCTATTAATATTTGACTATAACATAGTTTCATAGTAAGTTCTGAAGTCAGGTACTTTAAGTCCCTATGTTCTTTCTCAAAATTGTTTTAACTCTTTTGGTCCTTTAAATTTCTGCATATATTTTTGAATTAGCTTCTCAATTTCTATTAAAAAAAAAAGGTACAGAGATTTACAGAGATTCAATATACAGGTTACTAATTTGGGTTTTCCAATCCATAAAAATTGTATATGTTTCCATATATTTGGGTCAACTTTCTGAAATGTTTTGTACTTTTCAGTATATAGAAATACTCACTTATTTTAATAAAACACCAATGATGATAAACTTCTTATTTAAGGCACTAAATAGAGAATAAAATATAATAGCAAACATGATTTAAAAATTTTCCAGACACAGTTTTAAGTTTACCATATCTCATGTCCAAAAGCAAGACAAACAATGAACAAATAATAAAGATCTATTCTCTCATAAAGTCTGAGGGTTATAACCATTCATCAAATTGAGCAGGAAAAAAGTTAACTCCTATTTCAAAGATACTTGCCTTGAAAGAAATCTCCACACAAGTTTTTGGTAAATAAACTAAATACTCAATTTGATTTTCCTTCCTGAACGCCCAACAAATCCAAGAAAGTTCTACAAGCTAGAGTCATATTCACAAACAAAATACATTTTTGTAAATAAAATGTAGTACTGGAAACACAATGAAACATGCCATCTCTAGTTTTTTTTAATCTGAATTTTTAGAGCATGACTTTTGTCTCCAATTTTAAGTGTATAAGCCTTCACTGAACAAAATCTGTCAAATAAAATGGAACTGAGGTTCTATCAAAGGTTCAAGTCATGAAAAATTATTTTTGAATTGTAAATTATGAACATTAACAAAGGCTTTTTCTCTTTCAAAATAAAAACATTTTGCACATTCATAGCAGGAGTCACATACAATAGAGTGCATAATTACACTATTTATAATAGCAAAAAATAGGAATTATCTAAATGCCCACTGACAAGAGTAGATGCTATAAATCATGGTATATTCACATTATTGTACTATAGTGAAAATGAACTATAGCTATACGAAATAATATGTTGAATATTATAAAGTTGCAGGGGGTGAGGGGAAACGAAGCAAATCCCAAAAGACAATAAGCAGTATGATTCCAAGAAAAACTAAATATATTGTTTGGGCACCAGTACATTCATAATAGAAACTATTTTAAAGAGCCAAAGGAATAAAAAATACAAAATTCCAAAGAGTAGTTTCTGGGGACAGGGAAGGGCAAAAGGATGCAGGAAAATGGAGGTGAGGAACACATAAGTAAACAAATACCAGTTATTATTAATGTTCTAGTTCTTGGGTAGAGTAGAAGGTTCATATGTTTCATAACTTATATGTACATTATCTAATTTTTTTGTATCACATTCTGTTAAAATATTTTTTAAAACACAAGCAAAAACTATTTTGAAATAATTACTCATTATAAAACATTTTCCAGAAGTTGAATAGTAAACTCAAAATGTACTTCACATTTTTTAAAAAGTTCTTACCTTTGTTTCTGTTCAACTGCTTTGTCCAAGTGCTGAAAGATATCCTGAAACAAGGTGCAGCTGGATCGACTGTTAATAGTATACCCATATCCTCTTTTCCAATATTGTTTCAGATCATTTAAATATTCTAATACCTAAAAAAGTAAAAAATCAATTCTAATATATTTTAATCAATATGACACATTCCCTGATTTAATAATTCTCTAAGAAAAGGTTACAGTGTTTAATTACCATTCTGCACAAAATACAGCATTTGTCCTTTCCAGCATTTAAGCGTTAAGAGAGATTTATGCTGCATCATAAATTTGGATTGGGGGAATGTAGAGGCTGGTGTGCAAGAGCAAGCAAGGAAGTGATCACAGCCAATCGTCCTAGATCAGGACAGCTCAAGAGAGTGGAATAAGGACATGTGCTCACCTCTCCTTTCTTCTAACATTGTATTAAGATGATGTCAAGGATACATATAGAAGAAATAAGAAAAGACAAATATTCATTACAGCACAGAAAGATACCAACAGTGGATCACAAATGTTTAAGAATTTTGAGAAGGCAGAAGTCAAATAGAAAATGAGTTACTTTGGTTCACTTATCAGTTTGGCAAAAAAATTAAAAGTGTGCCAAGGACATGGGGAAATGGGTACTGCTGGAAGGAATGTATATTGTTATAGACATTCTAGAAGGAAAATCGGTGAAATCCATGAAAACACACATATTCTATGACCGATTTAATTCCATTTCTTTCTTTCTTTTTTTTGAGACAGACTCTTGCTCTGTCACTCAGGCTAGAGTGCAATGGCATGATCTTGGCTCACTGCAATCTCTGCCTCCTGGGTTCCAGCAATTCTCCTGCCTCAGCCTCCCGAGTAGCTGAGATTACAGGTGCCTACCACCATACCTGGCTAATTTTTGTATTTTTAGTAGAGACGGGGTTTTACCATATTGGCCAGGCTGGAACTCCTGACTTTGTGATCCACCCGCCTCAGCCTCCCAACGTGCTGGAATTATAGGCCTGAGCCAACACAACCAGCCTAATTCCATTTCTTATAAATTGATATTCTTATAAAATGATATTCACAAAGTGATAGAAAATGCAAGCAGCCTCCGGAGATCTGAAAAGGCAGGGTATGGATGTTCTCCTAAAGCTCCCTAATAGAATATGACCCTATGATACCTTGATTTCAGTCTTTTAAGATTCAATTTGAACTTCTGACCTCCAGAATTGTAAGATAATAAATTTATATTGTTTTAAGCCACAAAGTTTGTGGCAACTTGTTACAGCAGCAATAGGGAACTAATGTAATATAGTAGAGAGAGTGAGAAAGGAAATGTGGCAAAAAGGTTAACAACTGGTAAATACAGGTAAAGGATATATGAGTGTTCATTTTAAAACATGTAACACAATTTCCCATGAAAACTATTATAAAATAGTTACTAGGACTTTGGAAAACCATTTATTCTCTCTGAGCTTTGGCTTCCTATTAGAAGAATTTGGAATTATATCAGCTCTACAATCCTTTTGAAGCATTAAAATTTGATGATGGGTTAAAAGTAGGTCTGCAAATGGGCTGATTTAGAAATCAAATCACCACGGAAAAAATGTTTCCAGAGTTTTATGAACCTAAATTATTTAAAAGTAGGTGGAACCTATTTGAACCTTTAATCTCTCTTTATTTAAGGAAAATTGGGAGTTAGTCACAAGACAGTTTATGTTCCCTAACTGCTCATTTTCTGAAAAGCTGCTTCAAGTAACCAAACGCAAACAAGGCAAAAAAAATTTTTTTTAAAGCAAAGAAACGGCAAAAACAATACTTACCTTTGCATCCTCAATGTCAAAAACATCACACCAAGGAGATTTAACACCTTTAATTGCCAGGTCAAATGAACAGGTGAAAAAGGCTACTTGAATTAAATCTGGGGAGACAAAAAGGTAACATTTTGTGGGTCATTATTTTCCATAATTTTTCAAAGTCTAAATATCTGTAGAATGCCATGTGTGGTATAGCTCAATAAAATGGACATGTTTGGTTTGGAGAAGAAATAATTTAGTTTCTTCCTGGCTATCAAAGAATTAAGAGACTCGCTCTGTATAATCTAAGGGGGCAGAATTGGAACTATCAGGAAGAAACCATGAGGAAGTATAAATTTCAGTCCAATAAAATTAAGAAATGTTCTGTAATTGGTAACTTATTTCTGCCCTTTTTTTTTGACAGGGTCTTGCTCTGTTGTCCACGCTGGAGTGCAATCATGATCACAGCTCACTACAACCTTGAATTCTTGGACTCAAGCAATTCTCCTGCCTCGCCAATTACTTGTGAAGTGCATATTTCCCTAGCAACATCAACAAAAAGTGTAACCCAAGGACTTTCTATATAAAACTTAATATGATTTTGTTAATTTTAGAGGGTTCAAGGAGGGGGACTAAGGTTATAAAAGTTTTAGTACCCGACTTGAAAATTAGAAATAACAAAGTACATTTATTGAACAGTTTTTAAAAACTATACAATTCATTTTATAACTAAGAAGCAGCAGTAGGTACAGAAAAAATATATAAGGAGAGAGAAGACCACAAAGATAGAGACGGAAGAAGTGCAGGGTAAGTGAAGGGGAAGGAAAAAGGTGAAACAGCCAAGGAGGAGTAGCAAAAGCAAAATCACACACTGAAGAGAGAAATGTTGGTACCAACATCAGTTTTTCAAACATAGCTGCTCAAATTATTTCAGAAGTGGATTTCAGAATAAGTTATCTAGAATTTTTACACTGTTAATTTGCTGATTACATTACTTTGATATACATATGGGTATGGAAGAGAAGGGATAAGGGAATGAATGCTTGGGCTATCAAAAGTAGCCTTTGTTAGCAAATAAAAACACTGCTGTTCTCTAGTCAATGGGAAGTGGGTGATATTCAATACTAGAGAGAAAAGAAGTCAACTGCAGTGGTTGCCTCCATTGCTTTGATTTTTCTTTCATTTTACTGCCTTTCCTCTTTTCCTAAAGGAAAACGGGAGCAAAAATCAACTGATGTTACATGCGTTTTGCACTAGTTCTGGGTTTAAAGAATTCCTCTGAGGCAGTATATAATATCAAAAAATGTATTTCATTGAGAATATACAGAAAAGCCATTCAAAACTTGGCTTATATAAAGAAAAAGTTTAATAATCTTAATATCTGATACAATATAGTGGCTTATAAATACCAGGTACATTTGATGACCTAGCTTATTTACACTCAAAATTCAAATTCTGAAACTATGAAAGTCAGCCCAAATGGTATATTCTTTAACTGGAAGAGAGTTTACTGGAAATAAAAATAATAATTCACCAAAAACCTCTTCAGAGTACAGGGAGAAAAAGTATCAGATGAAGACTGAGGCTGAGACCTGACTTTGTCACTCATTGCCCTGGGTAAGCTCTTTAAGTGTCAATTTCCCCCCTTACAAAGAAAAGAGGTTAGATACATGGTATTATTTAAGTTATAGCTCTGACATATCTGTTACGACCCTTCTGATTTCTTGGTCAATTAGAACCTCAAAAATATTTCTGGTGGATAAGAAATTTAAACATTTAAAGAACAAAATAGACCCTTTCCCTCCACTCCCCTAGAAAAAAAAAAAAAAGGGAAGACAATAGGAACATATAATAATCTTGCAGTAGAATTCCTATTCAAAATAAAACACTCAGAAGCCATAATGAACAGACAGATATGGCTATATAAAAGACATAAACTTCTGTGCAATCAAAGGCATCATCAACAAACCTAAGATATAAGCAAGAAATTAAAATATCAGCAACATCAACAAGCAAAGGATGAATTCTTTGTCAGGAAGAATTAAAAGATATAATTAATCTATCCATAACACTTAAAAGGTATTTGTGATTCATAAGAAAACAAAAATAAATAGAAAATGAACAAAGTTATGAAGGGGCAATTCTCAGAAGAAATGCAAATGGCTACTAAACATGAAAAGATGTTCACTTTCAGAAGTAATCAAAGAAATGTAAATTAAAGCTAGATATTATTTTTCATTAGTCAAACTGGTGAAAATTAAAGTCACTATACCTACTGTCTGATGATATGGGAAAAGAAGCACTCTCATATACTGTGGATATAAATTTTTACTACACCTTCAGGGAACAATTTAAAAGCTAGATATTATTTTTCATTAGTCAAACTGGTGAAAATTAAAGTCACTATACCTACTGTCTGATGATATGGGAAAAGAAGCACTCTCATATACTGTGGATATAAATTTTTACTACACCTTCAGGGAACAATTTCAAAGTATATGTCAAAATGTAAAATATTCATGCATGTTAACCCAGCAATTTCACCTATTTATATTTAAAAAATTTTTTTCATCTGTATGTTTATTTATTTGGAGACCAGGTTATGAGACTGGCTAATTTTTGTATTTTTGGTAGAGAGAAGGTTTCACCATGTTGCCAAGGCTGGTCTTGAACACCTGGGCTCCAGTGATCCACCTGCCTTGACCTCCCAAAGTGCTGGGATTACAGGTTGTGCCACCACACCCTGCCTTACCTATTTTATCTTACAAATAAACTTCAAGTTTGAAAAACAGACTATAAGAATGTTAACTGTGTCATTACCTGAAAGAGTTAAAAACTAAGAAAAACTTCAGTTAGGAAAATGGTTTCCTATAAAAAGAATTTGGACTGCATTAGCAACAGCTTCTCACAGCAGTAAAATTTGATGATGTGTTAAATAATTTAACCAGCAGGGACTTGCAAATTGAGTCATTCATATGTCTCATGAAATAACACAGGATTTAAAAGAATGAGACAGTTCTATGTTTGTCTATAGATAAAAATATAGTTAAGTAAAAATAGTTAAGTTACTGAAAATACATATAAACATCACCCCTCTATGTAAACAAAAGGGTATTTAAATAGCAAAAATATTTATTGAGCAATTACTGTGCTAAGTACTAAATGCTTTATATGAATTAATCTTATATAATCTTTGCAATAATCCTACAAGACAAGAATAATTTCCACATTCATCTTACAGAGAAGGAAACTGTGGCATAAAGATATTAACAAACTTGTCAAAAATCAGAGTTATTTAATAGGATAGTAAAGATTCAAATGCAAATAGTCCAACTCCAGAATCCATTATTTGACTACTATACTTAACATTGCCTCCAAAAAGAAGTTGCTGTCAGTTACTCCATCAGTAAAATACGTAATTTTTGCCCATTCAGACACTAAAAATCATTAAAAAAAAATCTTTTCCAACAACCTAAATGTCTACTAACAGAATAATGGCTGGATATTGGTATAGTTATAGAATGAAATACATACATTTAAAATATAGAACCAGAATTACAAATATTAAATCAAAAACAAAAAGTTGAATAAAAATCAAATTTTGGACTGGTATAAACTTTGATACCACTTTTAAAAGTTTTAAAATCTGCAAAACAGTATCCCATTTATGTATAAAAACTGTCATGGGATAATACAAATGCTTAACATGATAATGATTACCACTGGCAAGAAAGGAAGAAGAATGAAATCCAGGAAAGGGACCAATGGACCTCAATTTATTTAAGGCAACTAACTGAAGCATGATGTTAAAATTTAATAAAACCAAGTTGTGGGTATAGGGATGTTCACCACATTAGCCTTGTTTGTTATCTTCATGTTTGAATTATTTCCCAATAAAATAAATAATTTTAAAAAATTCAATTTCAAATGCTAGTACGGACATCTTTTTGGTTCCTATAAAGCAGGCGTCCCCAAACTCCGGCCCGGCCCGCGGGCTGCATGCGGCCCCCTCCCGCACTTCAGGAAGGGGCACCTCTTTCATTAGTGGTCAGTGAGAGCACAGTATGTGGTGACCCTTCAACGGTCTGAGGGACAGTCAACTGGCCCCCTGTGTAAAAAGTTTGGGGACGCCTGCTATAAAGCATCCAAGCCCTGTGACTAACAATTTCTAATCTATTTTTTTCCCCCAACAAATACTTCCAATCTTTTGGAAATTAATTGAGAGTATAATGAAATCTACAATCTTTGCATGTATCTTTGTCAACATCTGCCCTATGGAATATAAATTCCTAGAAAACAGAAAAAAATCTTATTTTCTTAATCTCCCATTGCCAGGTGGCCATGTGTCCTGTTTTCCCACCTGCTTTCCTGGTAATATTATTAAAAGTGTTCCCTTTCACTTTTGAAAGTGCCCCACCAGTTTGAATGTTAAGTTGCATGGTCAGCCCATGCACTGCAATAACTTATGATAGACATGACTGCTCATCTTCTCAGCATCTCTACATATAAAAGACAAAAAAAATCATAGTACTTTGCTTTTCACTTTCTAAAACTTACCCCTCTTACACATTAACAGGTACTTCTGAACTTCTTCAAAAGCTAAAGAACTTATATGATTTTTCTATTTGTATCACTTTATGAGGAGGAAATTCCAGAAAAGATTAATTTGTTTTAAAAATAATACTTACAGTTGAGGCTTTCTATACTATGCCCTCAAAAAAACTCCAGAATATAGCTGGAATCTTGTGCATTAATTTAAAAAGAAGATTATGAATCTAAAAACAGTAAATAGAAAGCACAAGGGATACAATTTTTTTGACCTAGAACATAGTATTTTCTTAATGTAAATCAATTGTGGGTCTTTAAAAAAAATTGTTTCCTTATTTTTTTCATTTTCACAGTTCAAAATTATTTAAACCAGAAGCTCAGGCAAAAGATAACAGGCATATTACCTGCATTTAAATCATTCACTGGCACTTGCAAAGTAGCTGCAACTTTTTTTAAAATGTTCTGCATTTCTGGTCCAGTTTTGAAGGCTTCCACATGATAAAGAGCTGTAGCATTCCTTTCCACTTCAGTTAAAAACTTCTCACAGTGATCAAAGAACCTCATTAGTTTATCATTAACCCTTGGAGGTCCACATTCCATATCTGAAAGAGAAAAAAAAAACAAAACATATATATATATACATATATTTCTAAATCACTGACACAAATGACAGTTTCAAATTATTGAAAATGTTAAGTGTGAAAAAGGAACACCAACATCTTACTAATCCGCATATCAGAAGTAAGCATATATTGATCAGGAAAGTCATAGGGTAAAATTGTTCCCCATTTGTAATGGCTGTAATGCATGAGAATAGCTGGAAAAGACTAAAGAAATAGAGATCGATTGTGTACATCTTTGTAGCAAAGATTCAAACAAAACGTAAAAAAGGAAATTTTTTTCCTTAAAAAAAGAAATAGAGATTGAAGATTAAATGTGTTGCAAATGAAACTGCATTATACATTAATAAGTACTGTTTCTGTCAGGCACGGAAAACTTTAGAAAGCAAACTAAAAATCAGCAAAGTTTCTACTTACAAGGTGAGAGAGAATTCAGCATACGGAATCTATTTTTTCACCCTAAGCCAAAGTCTAAACAGAGTATTTTATTTTCTCAATTAACTTTCCCAACTCTGTGTCACCTTACAAAAGATTCTGCTTTGGACAGAAACTACTGACAACAGCACAAAACGCACTGTTTTGGGTTTCCTGTGCTTCACTTGCTAGGTGCCTGTGACTTGGTTTATCTTCCAACTCAAGCCCCCAGATAACTTTCCATTTAGAATTTAATAAATTACATTATTCCTCCAATTTGAGAAGCATTCATAACCATGCTTCAACTACTGGCATGTCCTTTAAGTTTTTTCCAGTCATATTCAAAACACATTTTTCAATCATTTCTCCAGTAATTTACCATGAAAAGAACACCAAGTATATCATTTTTGTTCATAAAATATGAGAAAATTGAATATAGTTGTATCTGGGCTCTGGATGTGTATGCAGAAAAATATATCAATATGTATGTTTAAGTGTGTCTCTTTAAATAAATAATTCTGCCCACTTTAATTGTCAATTGGATTGCAATTCTTAAGAAAATATCTTGACTAGGAAAACATGCGAACTTTATCACCTTTTTCTGTGGTCTCTAAAATATGATTTCCCAAGTGGATCTGAATATTTTATCCTTGTTACTATCTAATTATTGCTGGTGTTTAAACAAAAACAAAGACATTGTTCTGTTTCTATAAAACTACAAAATCTAATTCAGCAGAATCCCTCAAAAGCCCAGATAACATAACAAGCAAAACTATTGTCTATAGAAAATAACAAAGTGGCTAGGCAAACGGTTTACTCTCACACTGAAAACAGTCAGGGGTGGGCTTATTCTGAACTGTAAAATTTTGATCCCTGGCTCTCTACTCCGAGACAAATGCCAGTCTTCACAATGCCATCTGAGAACAAAAATTCACTTGTTCCAGGAGGTCACTATATGTATATTGTGCTATATTAAAATATGTTCTGCTTTCAACATTCTGTTAATTTAACAGATTTATGAGGACTTTTCACCATGTTAATGAAAAAGGTATATAGTTTAACCAAACAATTCAACAAATAACTAGACAGATGTCAGCTAACTGAATTACCCACAATTAAATGACACAGAATCAGTGGAGAAATCCCTTATAGATGGTTTCACTGTTCAACAGCTACAGAAGGAATTACAAACCAGCCTATTTCTAATTTTTCAATTGGGCTTTGAAGTTAAATGATAATTCTCATTTCAATTATGGCCTTAAAAGTGACCAAAAAACTATTAATGCTTGTTCATCTTTGTGGTACAAAAATGTTACATGTTTTTATTCTTATCACGTATGTTATTGGACAAATGGGCGCTGTATAGCATAACGGTTAAAAGAAGAAGCTCTGAATCAGACTTTCTGAGTTCCATGAAAATGGGCAAATAATTTAGTGTGTTTGTGTACCAATTTCGTCATCTTTGAGACAGGGGGAAAATACTATCAAATCCTGATTGTGGTTGTAAGGATTTTGTAAAATAAATGTGAGGCGTATCTGGCATACAATAGGCATTAGGTGCTTGCTATCATTATTATTTGTAACGATTACAACATTTTCTAAGAGAAAAAGAATCATTCTAGGAAAACAGAAGACCTGGATTCTAGACCTTAAACTAGAGAAAGACAATTAAGAAGGCATACTCTTGGGCTTGGCTTCTTCATCTGTGAAATAAAAGGGCCTTACTAGAGGATCTCTCAAATTTCGAAAAGTACAATTAATGGAATAAGTAAGTTACTGCGTGTGACTATGGACCACAGCCACAATGATGGGAACGCTACAGGAAAAACATGATCAAAACATAAGAAAAAAGGAGGACACAAAAGCTTGAGATCAGGTTCTTAAAACAGGGTGTAGGTCTAAGACTGTCATCTGAAAAAGATGAGTTAAAAAAAAGAAATAAAAACTAGTATCGGAAGCAAAACCTGAGGAAGAAAATTCTAGATTCGATTTTTAAAACGTGCGTCCAACAGTGAAACTAGACGCCAGGGAAGGGGGAAGGGATGGGTTGGCGCTCGAGGGGCAGTTCAGTTTGGGAATGGGAGCACAAAAACTACGGGAGACCTCGTCTGTCCTCTTTGCTGCTGGATCCCCAACTCCACTAAAGCAGGCAGCGTGTAGAAGGTGCTGAATTTACACCTCATGAATAAATGAACATACGTGTAAGGGGAAAAAGAGATAGCCAAGTCCGTCATATCCCGCGACACGGAGGACACAGCCTGAGGGACGGAGGCTTGGGAGCAGAGGAGACAGCTGGGGGGATGGAAAAAGCCCAGGGTCTGTGGGACGCGGGAGAGGATCCAGGGCGGGTGTTAGGACCGGGACAGCACCCAGACTGCCCAGGGGGTCACCTGCGACGTCGGGCGGCGGCAAGCCAGGGTGGTAGTGCTGCCACAGCCCCTGCAGGAAGGCGGCGCCGCTATCCACGCAGCGGTGCTTGGAGCTCGTGATGAGCCGCAGGCGGCCGTAGTTCTCAAGGCTGAAAAGGGCCGGGAAGAGAGAGGCCAGACGCAGCGCCAGCTGTCGCATATCCTGCCGTCCCTTCTCCACCAGCTGCCCGTCCATCCAGTCCGCGTACCACAAAGGCCAGTCGGCCAGCGCGGCACCGAGGTCGCGGCTGCCGGTACTACCGGCCCCGCCACCCCTGGACCCGCGGGCCTGCAGCAGCCGGTGCAGCTGCCTCAGCTTGCGGATCTGTTTGGCTGTGGGGTAGCGGGTGCCGTGGCGAATGAGGGCCACCAGCTGCACCGGGGTGCAGGTCCCTTCCAGCAGCTCAGGGTCCCGCCACGGAGCCTCGGGGCCCGCCAGCAGCCCGGGACTGACATCCTCATAGCGAGTCTTGGTGCCGAAATAGGGGCTGAGCGATGAGGCCACCGGGTCCCTCGGCTCTAGAAGAGAGCAGCGCGCAAACGACGAGAACAGCGCCGCAGCCAGGGCCGCAGCAGGCGCTACGGAGGTCCAGAGGAGGCGGCGGGGCGCGCGGAGCATGATGAGGGGCGGTGCGTGGAGGGCGCCGCGCCGGCTGCGGATGCCCAGCTTCCGGATCCGGCGAGCAGGGGGCGGGCCTGGGGGGCGCTTCCGGCCCGTGGCCTTCGGATTGCGCCTGCGCTGCCTTCAAAGAGGTCCGGGCGGCTGGCGTCGTGTCCTGCGTCCGTGAGGCAAGCTCGGAGGATCCCCGTAGACCTGTGGCACGGGAGGAGCCGGTGGAAAACCCTGAGGAGCTTGTGGCAGCCGCGGTTAAGGTGGTAGCCGGCGTCACTGCCCCGCAGCGTGGGCGAGTTTCCTTTTGGCCCGAGCCTCAGGGATTGACTCAGACTCCTCCGCTTTTTCAGTTGTTTTGGGCGTGAATGAAACCCAGACTAAACCGTAGCCTCCCAGGATGCCGAAACAGGACAGCTTTTACAGATGACTCTCATATCACTATCCCTACCCTGTGATACTGTGTTTTTCAAAGTATAGTGCCTGAACTGTCTGCATGAAATCCTCCCCAGACGGTTGTTGAAAATTCACATGGCTGGGCCTTGCTGCAGGATGCTTGAAGCCCAAGGTTTTTTGTTTCTTGAATCTTTTTTTTTTTCCATTTGCGTTTGAAAATAAATAGGAAAGCAGAGAACTTGGAAAGGGACTTAACATTCTGCAGGAATTTAAGTCCTGAATCTTTGGTATAATCTTGACCTGGACTACCAGAGCTCATGCGGACATCAATGAGACAGCACCCTAAAAGTTTTCTGCCTGTTGATCGCGAAGGCTTAGAGAGTGGAGACATAGCAATCTGGATAATTTGGGTGCATTGAGTCATGGCCCAACACATTTACTCCGTTATTAAGTATGAGCTAATCTGCTTTACGAAACAAACATGCTCTGTATTTACCACCACTCCAGATCCGTACGTTCCTCTTATGTTCCTCTCACGTACATACATACTCAAATCAGCAGCTGGGCTTTTTAATAGGTTATTGCTCAGAATCTTTACCTGACCCCAAAACAGCTAAATTGTGAAGGGAAACAGCAAGGCTATCTATGTAAGCATATACAATACTGTCTAAGAACATGGTCCCTGAAGTTAGACTTTGCGGTTTTCAGATTCCAGCTTCATCTCTAATTGTCCGTGAGATAGTAAACAAATTAAATTATTTTGCCTCAATTCTTTTTCATTATAAAGTGGGGATAATAACCATGAGACTGTTGAGAGGATTAAATGAAACAGTTTACATAAAGACTTTATACAGTTCTTGTCCCCAAATATCAGTTGCTTTTATTAAACAGAATTAAAGTGTTTCTTTTTTTTTCATTTTAGAGACGGAGTCTTACTATGTTGCCCAGGCTGGAGTGCAGTGGCTATTCACGGGCGCGATCCCACTACTGATCAGCACGGGAGTTTTGACCTGCTCCGTTTCTGACCTGGGCCTATTCACCCCTCCTTAGTCAACTTGGTGGTCCCTCACTCCCGGGAGGTCACCATATTGAGCTGAACTTAGTGCGGACACCCGATCGCCATAGCGCTCTACAGCCCAGAACTCCTGGACTCCAGAGATCCTCCAGCCTCAGCCTGGGACTACAGGCACGCACCATCATGCCCGGCAAGTGTTTCTTATTATCACTTCTCTCTTAATGAAATAAACTGACAAATAGTTTTCTATAAATATTTATCTTATAACTACATTAAGCAATGAACTTTGTGCCTATGCCAAGAAAGTTTGAGCTTTCTTATCTTTCTGCCCTGCTGTTGCATCATTCCTCTTTTAACAGTTGCCAGATGTTGATTTAGTGTTTATTTGCTTTTTGTTGCAGTGGAAGCCAACAGAAGAGGGGTCCATTTGTACAATTAGGGCTGGAGTGATCCATGTTCCCATAGCAGTCCCTTTAACCTCACTTAAATGTGGAGGCTGCATAGATCACAAGTCTGAATACTACAAGCTACCTTTGCTTAAAAGGAACCACACCAGCACTGATAGCTAACTGCTAGATTGTTCTCCAGCATGTCAGAGTTAACTTGAATTGCTTGAGTTGTGCTTCAGTTAATGTAGAGAATGTCACTGAATAACACATAACCTTTGAAATAACCTGCTGTTTACAGTCGCTATCTTGCTCTGCCAAGGGAGTTATTTTACAGTGATAAAACTTCTCTTCTGGTGCCTTGACACATCCTAGGACTTTGATGTTGGTAATTATTTCTCCCCAGCAAATATTGGTTCTAATTCTACATGACTACTTGAGAAACCGGATGCAAAATTATGGTGGATTTAAATTATCAATATTCTTTATAGGTTTTGCTATTCCCATTTAAAAGAGGGAAACTGTAGCTATACACTTTCTAGTCCTGGTCTATGGTGATTCTCCTGCACAAACTTAACATTGTTGTTCAGAAACGTAATTTCCCCCAGAATTACCCTCCATCTAAAACATATTGTTATTCTATCACAAAGATAAATAATAGGTTTCCAAATCCTGGTTAAAAACAAAACAAAACAAAACTCTCTTCTCCTCTGTATTTTTCCAGAACAGGCATAGATAATAGCAATTGTGTTTTACCATTTTATTTTTTTCTGAAATGTTAGTTTTCTAGGATGTGGAAATATTAGAGTTAACAAAAAAAGAAAATAACTTTTTAAATGAAATGGTGGTTTTCCAAAATTGGAAAATCTTTTTGAGCTATTCTATCTTTAGGACTATTGGGGGTTAGCTGGCTTTAGAGCCATTAACGTTTTCTTATTATTTCAAACAATAGAGAAGTTTTTCCCTCTTAGCATTTTTTATTTTTATTTTTATGGAGACAGGGTCTGGCTCTGTCATGCAGGAGGCTGTCTGTAGTACAGCAGCACAGTCTCAGCTCATTGCAGTCTCAGCCTCTTGGCCTCAAGGTATCCTTCCACCTCAGCCTCCCAAGTAGCTGGGACTACAGGTGCAGGCCACCACATCCAGCTAATTTTAAACAACAGAGAACTTTCAAAACGAAAGTTCTTTATTCTTCAAGAAATTCATTTTTTTCTTAGCTCATTAATGTCCATTTCATGTTGCCTCAATGGGCCATGTATGAACCTTTTTTCTTTCAGATTTTGTTCAGTTTTGTTATATAGACTCATCTTTCTTTCATTGAGTTGCTTTGTCTATATGATATATCAGTCAGTGTTAAAACCCAAACAATACCTAAGCCAAAAGAGCAATATAGGCATCTGTGAACACACACACTTGGTTGCAGTTGCTTCAGCAAAAAGGACAGTTTACACTCAAATTGAAGCAACCATTATGATTCCACAAACAACATTCCTTATGACCCCACCTCACCTTTTCATTCTTCCTTTGCTGTCTGATCTGATTCAGTACTCCAGAAGATAAGGCAGATAAGAAGCCATTTTGAAAATATTGAAAAAAGAGTTAAGGGGCCATCATGAAAGTATTTATCCCACATCTTACAGTAAGCAAACTACCAGTAACTATTTGTTGAAAAGTGTGAATGAATAAATGAAAATAGGACAAATAGGCAGCATGGGAAGCTAAAATATGAAAGTATATTGCTTTGCTTTATGTGGTATAATTATCTCATTTTATCTTCCCAGCTCTCCCACGAAGTATGCAGAATAATAGTTATCTTATATTGTAGATGTGGTAATCAAGACAAAGAAGCTAGATGCTTTACCTAAAGTCATTCAACAAATATTTGTTAGAACCAGTTCTAGAATGCAAGCAATGGAAACAGAGTTATTTCAGTGCTTCTTTTCCTGATACTTACCCTATTTCTGACAAATGAATAATGGCTTCAGAAAGTATCACTTGTTGCTAGGGCTAAAAGCATAAATTTTACATGAATACTGTAGCACTTACTGTTAGTTAATGACCCAATATTTATTCTATGTTTTTCTTTGGAATATTTGAAATGTGTAGATCTTTGCCTCCTGGGAAGCTCACTTTATGTTTGCCTCCCGAGAAGCTCACTGTATCCTCTCCTCAGGAGAAAATGCTGATTTGGTCTAAACCAATCCTGGTAACTACTTTTCATACCAGTCTTGTTTTAGGAATGCGCATGCAGCTCAGTTGTAGCCAATGAGATGTGAGGAGCAGTCTACTGGGGAGTTTCAGGGAAAGTTTGTTTTTCTTGTCCTAAGAAATAAACAAATAATGGGGTAATAAAGCTTCAACTCTTTATGGGGTCACTAGATTTGAGATGCTATTGAGTCAAAGGAATATTTAATTTGACACAGTAAAATAGTCTGGAAGGAAAGGAAATGATATTCAGTGAATGAAATGCTGAAAATTGATATTTTGAAGGTGGTATCGTAGTTTTTATTGATTAAGTGAAACAGTTGAGATTAAGAAAGTTTGGCCAAGACAAGTTATATAGCACAAATCATTTGGAGGTAAGGAGGTTAAAAAAAACCTTGAGAGGCCAGGAAGTCCTGGCTCCAAACTTCTGCTCCTGCTGAACTTGAGCCCCACTAGCTTCTCATCTTTCACTAATCTATGTACCCCTCCTCTCCCACTTCTAAAAAGCGGAGCTCACTCAACAACTTTAATTTTATTAAAATAAATTATTTTACAACAGACATTTTGTTTTTAATAAATGTTATTAGTGATTTGGAAAAATGAAAGAGATTGACATCTTTCAATTGACAGAGTTGCCAATAATTCTAAATATAATTTTTTAAAACATTTTGTTCTTAAAATGAGAAAGAAATCTAAGGAAGGGATCACTACCCTGGCCAACAGCATGTCCCGTATGATAACTAGACCTGCTACAATTATCTTGCTACCAGGGAGGAGCTAGCTTGAAAATAAAACCAACACATTGAGATGACAGAGCAGAAAGGGGAAAGAACCTAAGTCCCTAATGATATTCAGCTGATGGATTAAACCTGGAGTGTGTCTACCATGGTCTTCTGTAAGGAATTAAAATGTCTGTTCTGCTTAAACCAGTGTTTTGTCGTTTTCTGCAGAAATCCTAATTGGCATAAAGAAACTATTGACCAATTAACTCCACTGCAACCTCACCTGACCCCTTAGGATGTCCTTTCATGCTTTTCTTGCTTTTGTTGAAGTTACCTATTAATAATAGAAAATCACAGTGGGTGATTTCTGATCCCATCTCTTTAGCTATGACCTTGTGTCTCTGGCTTATGATCATGGTTTATGAAGCATGGGAAGCACTAAGAAATGTAGGAAGTAGGTAGGTAAGATCAGAGGTGT